GGAAATGTGTACCAGGTTACATGGATTGGTACAAGAATATCGCGTACCTATATGTTGAGCACACTGATGAATCGTGTGTCCATGACCATCAGGATTTCAGCCAATATGCCGATGTAATATATTATCCTCTTTTATGCATTTGTAACTTATTTTTTATTTTCTGATATGTTCCCTAAAATGTGATATTCTTTTCAAATGCAGCGTATTGCACATGCACTATAGATTGCACATCCCGTTGTTGAGGCTGGTTATGAGGAGGGGATTCGACATCCTCATCAACTTTACCAATCTATCGAGACTATGACGCATGTCCTTGAAGGTCAGCATATTGACGGAGCTGGACCTAGTTATACTGGAGGTCATTTTTCATCTCCGACATTGACATACAGTCGTAGGCCTAGGCGTAGGCATACAGCTGATTCGTGACATGTTATTTGTTAGTTGATGAATTTTTTGTGGTGTTTTTTGTAAGATGACGTTGTTGTAATGCTAACAGTGGTTAATATTTTCTTATTGGAATGGAATGGCAACAATGGTTGATACCATTGAAAATGACATTTTATTATTACAACGGAATAGTAACAATGGTCGTTGATTTTGTAAATAATATTTTGTTATTAGAATGGAATGGTAACAATGGTCGATAACATTCAATCCATGCCACAGAACACATCAATATCAAAAACACATCTATTAATTTCTTCCATAATTCTAACATTGTCAAATGCATACATATGTCATGCGACATCAACAACATCAAATGTCTCTCGAGTAGCTACAGTATCATGAATAATGTCCTTGAAATGCTAAATGCGGAGCACATATGCATCATCCCAATAGACAACGCAAGGGTGCCGGTATTTTCACCAATTAGTGGCTATAGGAGGAATTGGATGGTCTGGTTGCAAAAAAACCTACACCAAATGTCAATTGAGTTAGTGGTCATACCTTATAACTGCTTGTACATGCACAAATTGATAAGTTTCTGTTATACCTGGACGAAATGATTTCTGTTGACAAGCCTAATGGCAATCTCACGTCTATCAAGTTGAGGTACTAGCACTGTTCTAAGAGGTAAAAAGGTGAGACATTGCTGTAATGACAAGTGGTATAACACAAGATTGTAGCATGATGCAACAAGATGCCCTATGTCTGGCATAGTCATCTAATGTGGGTATCCAGGACTGTCTTCAAAGTATGACAATATGCTTGTCAATTCTTCAAACCTTTCGTAGGACCCATAAAGTGTAATGTATTCCTCTTTGTGTGTGTGCAGCTCACCCAAAAGATCACGCCTAACCTAAGCCCAATCATCTTCTGTATGACCAATTGAAGCAGCTATAGCCCTGAAACCACAATTCCCATCTGCAGCTACATCCTTGACAAACTTAATGTATGGTTTCAATCCAGAAGGGAAAACATCAACATATGCACCAGGTTTCACTGTTCTAGTAATGTACACCTTCCCTTTCGCATTCACCTTCTTCTTTCCCTTAACAGGTCGTTTCTTCTTGGTTTCTATAGTAGAAGCTAATGTAGTGATTTGAGTGTCCCTAGGTGAGAAGGAATCATGTCCAGATTGCACCAACTCAAATGCACGACGGGTAGAAACATTGATCTTCTTATGATCCCGATGACGTGTTTTGGGCTTCACCTCGGGCTCAACAAGAAAAGTGCTTCCCAGACATACAATCTCTTTCAACTTCTTCAAAAGCTCCAACCACATGGTTCTATCACTTTTATTGAACTTTTTCACAAACAACTCTACTTCTACATGACAAGTCACCTTCGTTTCCTTTTCTTTGTTGCATATAGAGATATGAAGTTGCCTTCATTGTGAGCGTATGGCAGCAAGTGATATAAGACGATCTTGTCTGATGTAGTCAGCAATCTCATGGGCACAAGGTAAATCATGAGTGTGGCGAAGGACGCATCCACAAGCTTCAGCATCAATGCCAATGGAATTGGCTCTCTTACTCTCTACAAGCAAATACTCTAATGCAGAGATAGACACATTACCCTGTAGCTCCTTGAACTGAGAAGGTTTAAATTGATGTTGCACAACAGTTAGACTTTTCTCAAATGAAGCCTTGATATCAGTGTGTTGCAACTCAAGCAGACTATGTATTTTCTCAAATGATGCCTGAAATGAGACTTGACATGAACCCAATTGTCTTTTAAGTTTTGCATGTGCACTTTCAGCCCTGTTCAATTCAATGTAAGTGAAATTAAAATCAAGTACATGGCACTTATTAATAACATATTGAACAAAAGTAATCTTACCGGTTGGTTGTAGCATTGCCACAATGCATACACGTGTCTGTCCATGCCGCCACAAATTTCTCCTTGTAGGGAACTAACCAAGTATTCATGACGTAGTTGACTGCATCCGGATAACTACTGAATTCCTTAAGTAATGATTTAAGACGCTCATCGAATTGAATTTTAGAAGATGAATACACTAAAGAGTTCCACTCATGGTTGAACTTCTTCCATTTCTGCTGTGTCTCAAACATTTTCTTGCATTTGGTCAATACATTCTTACTGATATGCCAACGACATAATAAATATCTGCCAGTCGGGAATATCTTCTGTATGGCATTCATCAAGGCTAGCTCTCTGTCAGTAACAATAATTGTTGGCACAACAAAACCATCCATGACATCACGCAATGTAGCTAACACCCACGCATAGTTATCAACCCTCTCATACTGTAAGTATGCAAAAGCTACAGAGAATGTCATTTCAGTTGATGTCACTCCCACAATTTCAAGAAGAGGAAGCCGATATCT